GGCTCACCCCGAGAGCCGCCTCCCCGCTCAGCCAGGCCTGCCTGTGCTGCTGCCAGACTCGAGATGTAATGCACCAGCTTTACCTCTACCACACGCATCCCTTGGGCTTCTCTGATGGACTGCGTGGGTTGGAAAGTGGCTGCCTGCAGCGGGAATGGCAGCAGTGCCGCATCCCACCCCGTTGTGCTGGAGGAGGGATGATGCTGCCAGGAGGGAGACGGCACAGGGCATGGAGTGGGAACTGCAGTGGCTCCCTGTGCTCCCTGCAAGGCAGGACGGCATCTGCAGGCAGGTCGGGGATGACATGGTGATGTGGATGCCAGCAGCTCTCCTGCCTGCTCCTGGGATAAAGAATGCATGAGAAATGCCCTGGAGCTTCTCAAAGGCCGCAGTGTGGCCTATGAGTTTCCACGTCCGTTTTCATTCTCAGATCCGCCCAGTTAACAAGGGAAGGTTCTCAGGCCTTGACATGTGCAGAACGCAGGTTTGAAGGGATGGTTACTCTTCTCCACGAAAGCTGGGTGCCTCCGAAGCATCACCCCCCACGCTGACATTACCCATGGAGGCACGGGGGTGCAGGGTGTGTAGCATCTCCCTTGCATGGATGCTGCTCTCGTGGTTGTAATTCTGTCCTGTCTTTCCTCTTTCTCTGTCTCAGGTTGGCTCAGTCCTTGTTTGCACTCTTTGCCTCGTCACTGGCAATCTCCTTGGTCTTTGCCATCATCCCTCTGTGCCACAATGTGATGGTCCTGGCTGTGGTCATGGCCGTGGCAGGACTGGCCATGGGTTGCATCGACACCATCTCCAACATGCAGCTGGTGAAGATCTACCAGAAGGACTCGGCCATCTTCCTGCAGGTGAGAATGGAGCCTGCGTCTCCCCTCTGGCTGCGCTTCCTCCTCTGAGGAAGAGTGAGGGGCTCACCTGGTCTCCCTGCAGAGAAGAGCAGGAAACCCCCCTACTCTACTTGCATCTCTCACCTCTTGCAGGCCCTTCATTTCTTCGTGGGATTTGGAGCACTGCTAAGCCCACTGATAGCTGACCCCTTCCTCTCGGACACCAACTGCATCCTCTCAAACTCCACGGCCAACGCCTCCAGCAACCTCCCTCACATCCGCAAGTCCCTGGTCCCGCATCATCCGGGCAACCTGTCCCATTACGACCTGCCGATGAAGGGCATGGTGGTCACACGCGTCTCCTACGCCTTCTGGATCATGGCCCTCATCAACGTAAGTGCTGCAGCTGGGGTGACCCAGGCCGTTGCTGGGGACACCCTTGCTTCTCGGCTTTGCAGGTGGCTGTGTGGTTTGGGCGGTGTTGGTGCCCGCTGCGGGGTCCCAGCGGTGGAAGGAAGCACCAGGATGGTCCACAGCAAAGGGTCAGTTTTTGCCACGTGCCCAGTTTCCAGCAGGAGCCTGGGGCAGGAGACACTGCACTCTCAGAGGTGACAGGGTCGAGGTACCGTCCTGCAGGGATTTGCCTGCTCTCCTGGAAGCAGGCTGAACCTCCAGCATCCCCCGGGGCGGGTGTGATGCCAGCTAACTACACTCGGAGCCACAGGGTCTTCCTCCGTGCTCAGCCCGGGGAGGAGCTCAGTGGTGTGGGAGGGCAATTTCCAGTGATACTGGAAAGTGTCCATCAGTGAACTGAGTTACTGGGGCCGAACGCTTGACTGGGGTGTCTCTGCCTATTGGTTATGTCTCCCTGGTGATTTGCAGCAGATGTAGAAGTCCTGCGGCCCTTGCTTTGTGACAGAGATGGGGTTTAATGCCCATCCTCTCTCTGCCCTGCCGAGTCCCAAAGCTGATCTCCAGCAAGCTGCTCTTGCCTGCAGGCTGTGGGCTCTCTTTGAGATGTATCCCTGTTCCTTACCCCCAGTTAATCCCCGAATCCCAGCAGGGTTAAACCCAGCCTCGCTGCACTGTGGCCGCCATCGTGCCCATCCCCAGTCCCTCGGCAGCAGAGCTGGCTGAGCTGCCCCTGCCCTGGGTGTGATTGTGCATGTAGACCTGGAGTGGTCGGAGCGTGGCGTTGGAGTGAGCGAGGGCCCTGCCTAGCAGTGCGCCTCGTGCTGGGATTGATGCTGAGGGCAGCTCTGCTCCGAACTCGTCGAGTGCCCGGTTATGCTTTCTGGGGGGGGTCCCGGGGGTGACCTGTGAGCACAGCCCAGCCTGTATAGCCCTCGTCTGTTGACAAAGAGCCTGCCAGGGCAGGGACAGCCAGGCTGCTGCCCACTTCACTTGCCTGGAGACCTGTAGCAGAAGCGAAGGATGATGCTCTTGTCTGCGCTGCCGCCCCGGCGCCTGCTGCCCCTTCCCTGGGCAAGCTTAGCATCACCCTTGTGCAAAACATAAGGATGCCCTGGTGCTTCTTCTCCCTGTCCCGGGCAGCCCTTGATCTTCCACCACTCCGTCTGCACTCGCCAAAGGGAAGAGGTTTCTTTATGCTCTCAGCCTTCCCGTTTGCTGAGTAACTAAAACATATCCCAGTGCACCTAATCCAGGGGCTTTCATCGGAGCGAGGCTGCGCAGCTCGCTGATGCGAGGAGATGGGGCAACCGAAAGAGCAGGGCAGGGGCTGTAATGAGTTTCTTTGCCGAAGTACCAAACTGAATGCTCCCTGCCTGGGAGGAGATGCCAGCTTTAATTACCTCTGACTATGCATATGCCATGGGAAATGTCCTTTTAATTACACCGCAGCGTTACCTATTTTGCCAGTCAATCCTGAGCAGACTAATTTGGGTTTGAAGGTGGCATTTAATAGCTGCTTTGTATACAACGTGTCTGATACCTGGAGGGTCATTGCCAGACCCCTCTCTGTTCCTAGCAGTGTCCCGTGGACATTTTGGGAGCAGGATGGGACCCTGGGCTGAGTCCCGCTGTGCCCAGCAGCTGATGCAGGTCACGAGCTGGGCTTGTGCGTCGCTGCACACTCAAGTGCTGTTTGCACGTGTGGGTGGTTTGCACGTGTGGGCACACTGTGCAGGATCACCAGGAATAGGGGCAGGGGCTGCTGGGAGACTGATGTTTTCTGGGATGAGGGTTAGGTAACAAGCACTGGAGGAGCATGGAGTTGCAGACGCAGCTCCCGAGTGTGTCCCCTTGCCAAAGCCAAGCTGTTATTGTCTTTCCCAAAGCCTCGCGGAGGGAGCTGACTCGATTCCTTGTTTAAACTAAATAACCCACTGGCTGGAGACACTGGGAGTAGCTCAGCTCCAAGACTGCTGACCCTTCCCTAAGGTGTAAACGCCAGAAAGCAATGATGATAATTGGTATTTAAAACCCCAGGGGCGTGGATGAAATGAAGAAGCTGTAGAAATGGCAACCAGGACCAGCAACTCTGTTATAAAATGGTCAAAAGCACATTTGCAGCCCAGTTTTCACAGGGCTGTGTGTATTCTGACAAGACACAAGCTGAAATGATTCATTTTGATTTCTTGCTTTGTTTAAAGTGGGAACATCTCAATTTGACTTTGGCAGAAACGCAGCGTGCAAAGCCGACAGAATAGTTGTTTCGATGTTATTGAAGCAAAATGGTTTTGCTTTAGTAAAATTAAATGGTTCAACATTATCAATGTGAAGTGCCTGGATGACTCCTGGCCAAAATTTTTCATTCTAAGAGGAAAATTTTGGCTTCTCATCCAGATTTGGAACAAAAACATATTTTAAAATTCATTTTCCCACAGAACGGAAATTTCATCATCCAGCCCGTTCCAAGGGGCTGGAAATCAGGAAAATGTTCCTCCGAGGGGGATGTGTTTGTCCGGAAGGTGGTTTCCCAGGGGAAGCGCGGGACACTCCATTGTGCTTAGGTTGCTTAAAAGTAGCCTGGGTACAATAGCAGGGACCAGTCCCGTGCTCCTGGGGGGAGCGACCGAAATAGAAACTGGAGGGAAGGAGCCTGGATTATACCCACGTTTAACTGCGTGGTGCAGCAACTTGTTGAGTTTATAATTACGGCGAAAAGCTGCCAAGGGGAGGGCAACATCCCGGTAACTCGTGGAGCGGAGCCGGAGGGATGGGGCCAGGCAGTGCGGCTCTTGCTTTGCCCTTGGAGGGATGCTCAGATGCCCCTCTCCCCCTTGAATAAAGAAAAGCCCTCTGCCAAAAAAAGTTGAAGCAGAGCTGCCCTGGGAAGAAAAGCCCATGAGCAATTGGGAACACACCAAAATCTCTGCCTGCTCTAGGGGGGAGTGCTGGTCGGAGATGGGGATGGGGGGTGTCCAGGTTGGGGATGGTGCGGGACCTCTGCGGGGCGGTGCTCTGAGGACCAGTGTCCTTGTTTTAGGGGTTGTGGCTGCGGTTTGTCCCTGGTTCTCGCTGTTTGGGGTCCCTGCAGGGTGGGAATGCTCTGACAGCCCTTTGCCTCGTGCCAAGCAGCCCGGGCAGCCGAGGTGTCGGCCCCAGGAAAACCAAGGCTGCTCTAGGAGCTGAGTAGGAAGATCCTGTCGTAAGCACAGTGGCCCTGCCCTGCATGTCTTGGGACCTGTCTTGGCTCCAGGGGCCAGTGAGGCTCATCGTCACCACCCAACCTCTCCAGGTGGGACACGTGGAAGCTGGGGTTGGGGAGAGGGGCTCAGTGCCCACCCGACAGCTCGTGGCTGTCACCATGCTTACGCGAGCAGTGGGACAGTCCTCGGGCTGTCCTTGTCCTGTGGCCAGGGTAGGCTGCTCCTCTGGGATGGATTTGTCCCTTTGCTTGGTGAAACATGCCCTGGCAGGGCTCTGGTGTTCGGCTCTGTTTGCTCCTCTCCATCTGCCAAACCAAACTGGTTTTGTGGGTGCTTCATCCCCAGATTTATGGCCAGCCCCTCCCGTGGGCCAGGTGGCCGCAGGTGATGGTCCCCAGGCCACTTGCCAGCAGTGTGCAGGACACTGGGCTGCCTAAGGATGGAGCTGTGGGAACCTGCTTTCTCTTGAGCTTGATCCTTTGCTTTCCTCCCCTCCCTGAGCTTGCTTGGTGTGCTGGCAGCCCCTGGGCAAAGGCTGCACTTGACCATGGGTGAGGGTCCAGCTTTTGGGCATTTCCTACCAGAAAGGGCCAGCAGCAGATGGCTGATGGGCTCAGAGCACTGGTGCACCCGAGGCGCTGCCAGCTCCAAGACGGTGCCGTCTGGATAAAGTGAAAGGGACCTGCTTGCCTCAGAGGTGAGGATCTGGGGAGCAGGGATATGCCTACAGTTTGGCTGGGAATCGGGGGAGTCCGGAGTTGGGGCTCTTTTCTGCATAGGCACCGAGTGCTCCTTAAGGCTGGAAGTGCCCAGAGACGTTATCTGTATGACCAGTCCCAATGCGTGGGTAATTTTTTTTGCAAAATCTGCAGTTTAGAAGAATAAAATCTGGTCCTGACCTCCGGAAGGATTAGAACTATCAAGCAAATGCGTTTTTCTTCCATGGGACAAACCTAACTGTTCCTATTCCCATTGTTCCCAGAACAATGAAGCCCTCATAAATGAATTTAGGCAAGAGAGACGGGGTGGGGGTGGGAATTCTCCATACATTTAAATCATGCCATGAGCCAACAAAAGGCAGGAAATTCGGAGCTAGAGCTCACACTTGCCCTCAGACGTGTAGAAAACAAGCGCTCGGCGGCTGGAGAGTGAGCTGTCACTTAGGATTTCCTGGCTTTCTCCCCCAGTTTGCTGCAGAATAAACACCACTTGGTTGTGGCGGGAGGAGAAGGGAGGGCTGGCGAGGGGCAGACCCAGCTTCATCTGCTTCCCTCTGTTTTCTCTCCAAAAGAAAAAAATACGAGCAAGTCCCTCTGGGCTTGGAGGCACCACGGAGTCGTGGGTGTGCGCGGGGAGTAGGCTTGTCCCCAGGCACGCGGGAGCGAGGACTGTGGTGCTGGGGGGTGGGGGGCTGATGCTGAGGCGTGAGGGAGCCGGTGGGCAGGTACAAGCCCGTGGTCCCTGGGTGCGTTGGCACCGGGCGGAAAGCCCTGGCTGCAGGGAATGGTGCTGGTGGGACTGTCGTGTGCCGGGAGCCTGCGCGGCGGCATCCCTGGGTGTGCGGGGGTCTCTAAGGCAGCGACAGCCGGGAGGGAGGT